GGATGAGTATATACATCTATAAAATACTCCTCCCCCTCACTTGTAGGACACGTCACTGGCGGTCAGGGCATTTCATAGTCGACCACACCCAACTAGAGCACTCTTACTTATTTTAATGTGGATTAAATAATAAAATCATAAAATCGCAACAATAAACTTTCGCTTTCAATTTCTTTTTCATTTCGTGCTTCACTTGCTCTTGTTTAACAGACTTGGCCATCAGCCATCCAGCTATCAGCCATCATTCATTGCCCATTGGCCATTGCCCATTGGCATTGGCGGCTCCACTCGCAATGAGCAGCCGAATGAACCGTCGAGCGACCGTTGCTCGGAGTAAATTAGCATTTCAATGTCTGTCGTTCGCTTTTAATTGAAATTCCAAATGCTATGCGAATGATAATAATAATATGTGACTGCAGTGCAAAACATTTTACACAGATGAAACTGTTATGACATCAGAGAAATGTATACACACATACATAAATGTGTCTATATACATATGTATATGTGTCAACTTGTATGCCCAATGTACCTAGAGATCGAGATGTTTAAATACTAAGCACGTACGCAAAAGCAACAGAAATTTGTTTACAATATATCTGAGATCATTTAACAAACAGCCTCAAGAGAGCGGAATATCATAATAAAATAAATGAAAATTGAAATCTTGATGAGCAATCGTGGATTCGAGCTGCCTGACTCACTGAAAGAATAACATTGATAAACTGGATATAAGTTTTATATCAAACTAAAGCCAATCAACTTTATTAAAATATAATTAATTTAAACAAAAATCAGTTTTTTTCTATTATCTTTTAATTTTTAAAAACATCTACAACATCTCTACAGTACAATAAATATATATATAATAATAATAACATAAAAAATTTATATGGTATTATAATTAAAATGTTATTTCATCTTATATACCAACTAATCTCACTTTCTTTGCACTTTTTAGGGTATTTAAGGTTCATCTGCTCTCATTTTCATTTCTACTCATTAAGTAATTGTGAGCTATCATATCACATATCAGAATACATTATGCTCTACTCTATTCAGTTACAACAAGAACAACAACAATCGCAATAAATGGGGCTCATTGTTGGTTTTATTAAAGTGCGGTTTCCAGCACCGTCCCACAATAATACTACTTAAATAACTAATGCAAAAAATAAAAAAATAAAAACTGCAGTGTTGACATGAGCCCAATGACAACAACGGTGTTGAGTTTACTCTGGCTGGGGTTGGGTTTAGCGAGTATCACAACAACAACAATGACAACAACAGCAATGACAACAACATCCATGATGTAAACAATCATTGATGCAATGAGTCATAATACAACCTCCACTCGCATGGAGGAAGCGAAAGGCACCAAAACTGTTTGTTTACTTATTTATTTTATACCCTCGACAACATGTGAGAGGCTTAACATTTTAATATTCATAATCATATTTCACATATAAAATACAATAAAAATAATTTGAAATGCTTACTTAAAATCTACATTTTGTCAGCAGCATTCTAGGGTATGTCCACTTCTATATGTACATCATTTTAACAGTTAATTCATGCACCTAAGGTGCAGGCGTTTCACTTAACTATGATTCAGAGCAGATCGCGCATAAGGAAGTGCATTATTTACCGTGTTTATAACTAACCTAGACGATGTGAACGGACGTGCCAATGAAACTTAATGTATTTTCTTTTTGTTTTCGTCTTTTACAACACTTGGCGAATGGCCGACGGCAAGGTTGCTATGCAAATAAGACAGGACACTCAATTGTCATAACTGCAGGCATGCTGTCTCACTCGCACGCACAACATGCTTAGTGCGAGCGTGTGGCTGTGTGGGTGAGCCTGTGAGTGCTTTTGTATGCTTGTGTGTGTGTGCTGGTGAGCTAACAATAGAAAACGTTTACGGTCCTTGCATCAAGTGTTGCGTGTGCCGCAATAGACCTCCTACCATGAGTTGCTCTACTAAATGACATTGAACTCGTATATGACTGCAGTTTTTATATATGTATGTACATACATATATGTAAATATCAATATATCCTTAAATTATTAATAAAACTTTATGGAAAAGGAACAGATAACTCATAGCCAACTCAACAATTTCAAGAGAAGCATTCTTACATTTGCATACATACATACATACATATATACATAATACATATGTATATACATATGAATATCTTTCCTTGCTTATTATAGTTAACCTGTTAATTGTTATTGTTGTTAGAGGGATTCATCTGATTTGTGAGTTGTGTTCATTGTTGTTTCGTGCTGTTTATTCGGTTCAACGCTCTCTGCCATAATACTTAACGTACTTTCATACATACATACTTACACAAATACATACATACATATGTTACATGCGCGTCTATGTGTGAGCGTATTTACTTTTGTGCAAGTTTTTTCGCGCCTAACCCAACTTAAAACCCACCCCTGCGCAACGGCATATTTGCTAGTGATGGGGCGCATTGCACTTTTTGTAGGTCAGTGCTGGGCCGTTTTTGTTTTTGTTTTAAGCATTTGTTGTTGTCGGATTGCTTTCGTCATGCGACGCGTGCAACGTTTTGCCCTAATGTGATTAAAGCAAAACGATAAATGGCAAAGTGATAAAAATCAAAGCACAACCAAAGTTTATTGCACTGCTAGCAAGTGCCGGCTGATCGCAATGGATCAATAGGATTTTTACAATGGAGTCTAGAGTAAAATCGGATTTTTTAAAATCAATTCAGTGAAAACATATTTACTTGCAATTGGGCAAACATACATATATACTAACAAACAATAAACTCTCAAACTGATATGCCTAGTTTAATTGTTTGCATGTGAATGTAAATTATTTGGCACACACATTGTCGTCCACTTGGAGATAAGATATCATAGGCGTAGACTGCCCAGAAACAAAACCGATCAATTTTTAGTGTCCCAATAGACATGTGTACATAATAAATTCCCCACGAATATAAAAGGGTTTACATAATATGTTGTATTCTTATTTCCTATACATTCTGCTTAAGAAATTATACGAAAATATAAGCAAATGCATATCGATATTTCATACAGGAGCAGAGATCAGGCAACACTTTATCGATATTAACTGTCAATATTAATTTTTATATATATTTTTTTCTTTATCCATTTTCCTTAAATCTGAGCCTATATCTATGTATATGTACATTTATACATATAAACAATCTAAAAACAGGTTAATTTACAAACAAACTCACCTTGAAGCGGTTTGACAGCTGATTCGTTGTTGTTATTGCAATGATTATTCTCGATGTTGTGGCTGCTGGCGTTGTTGTTGTTGTTTTTAGCGCGAGGCGAAAGCCTTCCACTTACACTTGGCGTTTGGATTTTGCGTCACTTTCGGTCTTAAATTTCTATTAATGCAAACAAAGAAGCTATAAATGAAACAAATGCGGCGCAGTGATAAAACTCTGCTAACGCATACATTGCCCAACGTTTTTGTCGCAGGTGTGCGTGGTCAGCAAATTTAGCTAATTTTGTGGTGTGTCCGAAATTTACTACATTAATTTAAAATATGCCCGATTCGAATCAAAATATAAATCAGCAGAATTAAAATTTGTCAGCCAAACGTGCCAAAAACGGATGAAACTAAGTTTGACTAATAGACACATACACACACGCACGTAAGCACACACACACGCGCATACACAAACGAGCAAATTTTGGACTGCGATATTTGTGCTTTCTCTGCCCGCTGCGTTTATACTTAAGCGCACATTGCATTAGACGACATTAG